CTTCACAACTACGAACGATCTTGAGCGGCATCAGAAAAGCCTACATCGGAAGGACATTGATAAGAAGTCTTATCAGTGTGCAGTGGAGGACTGTAGGAATAAAGAAAAGATCTGGCCACGTCTGGACAACTTCAAGCAGCATGTTGAGAGGATGCACAAAGATGAGAACGTGCTCGAACTCGTAGAAAGGTACATTTGCACATTTCGCACTTGAAGAGTCAGCTAAGCTGACATTGATAGATCGGTATGGCGTCCCAGGCGAGTCGACTCTCCTATAGAGGGTAAACCAACCGTCACACCCTTGGACATTGGGTCAACAGTAGCTGGCATGGAGATTCCTTTCTCCATAAGCCCAACGATGGGCAACATGTCTATGATGGACTTTCCCATGATGCAGGATGCCAGATATCTAACTTCGCCGAGCCAGGACTCCGTATTTGTGCCAAAAGCACAGCCACTATCTCAGCTCTCTGGACCCGGGCCTACTTCCGCACCACACAACGGTCGCGTTCAGAAAGTGTCGAAGGTGACTCGTTCTCGGCACAATGCACCGGGAATACAAGATCCTCTCTCCACTATCAAGGCCGCTCCTGGCGCGTCTGGAAGTAACCATCTCAAGATTCAAAAGTCCTCACAGGGTTCTTCTTTATCCAATGCACCCCAGACTAAGGCTGAGCAGCAAGCACTAGAGCTCAAGAGGAAGTCTGAACAGCGCTTGCATTCGCCGGAGCCTGTGGATATTGAGAGTCGCATACTAGAGTTGCTACAAAAAGCCAACCGCGACGATATGTCCAGGAGGCCGTCGAAGTCTGAGAAGAATGATGCATTGTTGAAGATGATGGCTGAGCTTGTCAATAAAGGCCCAGGATCCCCCGACACAGAACAGCGTCGCTTCAGCAAGAGCTCTTCAAACAATGACAAGCTATGTCCGATGTCTGGCTGCGAATTTGCGGTCGCTCGTGATTGCGATCTGCGCAAGCACATCAAGCGACATAACAGGCCTTATGGATGCACATATCCCAAGTGCCACAAACGCTTTGGCGCAAAGTCAGATTGGAAGCGCCACGAGAACAGTCAGCATTTCCAGCAGGAAGCCTTCCGCTGCGGCCAAGAACTTCAGGCAGGTCAGGTCTGTGGTGTGCATCTATACCGCGAAGGAGCGTTCAAGAACCACCTAGAGACGCAGCATAAGATGGCGTGCGAGGTTGCTCAAAAGCATGTAAACCTCCGCAGGATTGGCAAGAACTGCCAAGGTACCTTCTGGTGTGGCCTGTGCAAAGATATAGTGCAGCTCAAAGAGCGGCGCAATGCAGCTTGGGACGAACGGTTTGATCACATTGCACGTCACTTTGAGAAGGAGAGGAGAAATATCAATGACTGGATCTGTGCTGAAGAGAACCGACCGAAGAAAGAGCTGCTAGATGAGAAGAAGAAACGAGACTACTTTGACGATGAGGACGAGAGGGACAAGGACGGCGATGTGGATGCTACCGGAGACGTGGATGACGATGTTCCACAGCCGCGACCGCCGCATCCTCCTCCTCCTGACAACATGCCCAGTATGCCGATGTCAAGCCATGCAACGATGCGACACTCGCCAGTTGCAGTAGATATTGCGCTAGGAACTGCAGTAAAACGACAACGTTCCGAAGATTCGGCATATGGCGAGCGGTACCCAAAGCGAAGACAAACGACTTTGGTAACAAATCGCTATTGTGTAAGTTACCCGTATCAGCTGTTTGTGACAGTGTTAACAGATACAGTGCGCATGTCAGAACCCTTGCGGTGTTGTAGATGTTGCTTGCGCGAACTGCAACCATCGCGTCTGCGCCAATTGCAGTGTTGAAGAGACGGAGGCTTTCATGATGGATTTCTTTTGCGCGGACTAGTGATATCTTAGAGCGCAGATCTTGATACCCAGTAGACAATTTTCGCATATGTGAATCGACGCAAAGTGAAAAAATGCCGTATGTTTAATGGCGCTCCGTGGCTGTCGCGGACATGGTGATGGTGATGACGTTGCAGGGGTGTTGAAGGTCGGCGAAACCAAATGCCGAGGCGTGGAGTTGGAAACGTGTGCTCATGAAGCATAGCTCTCGAGAAGTTCCGTGACGCGGCCTTGCGACCATCAACCTCACCTTCCTTAACTTCTCCTGCAAACATGGCTGCCGCCGTAGATGACGGGCAGCTGCTCAAGCAGGCGACTGGCCGCAACACTCGAGGCTTGCTCCGGGTGATTATCCTGTGCCTCATCGCTGCCGCCGCCGTAAGCAGTCGTTTGTTCTCCGTAATCCGCTTTGAGAGCATCATCCACGAGTGTCAGTACTACAATTGGGGAATGCAAGGGCAATTGACTGACTATGCAATGCAGTCGATCCGTGGTTCAACTTCCGAGCGACGAAATACCTTGTACAGAATGGCTTCTACAGCTTCTGGGACTGGTTCGACGACCGTACGCATCTCCGCCGCATGCCCCAATGCCATGTAGCTACAATGGACTGACATAGAATGCAGGAACATGGCACCCTCTTGGACGAGTCACGGGTGGTACTCTCTACCCCGGACTGATGGTCACCAGCGGTGTCATCTACCACGCCCTCCGCGCTCTCGCCATGCCCGTCGACATTCGAAACATCTGTGTCCTCCTCGCGCCTGCCTTCTCAGGTCTTACCGCGCTCGCGACGTACCTCCTGACCTCCGAGATGGTCCCGTCGCCCTCAGCCGGTCTGCTCGCCGCAGCCTTCATGGGCATCACCCCCGGTTACATCTCGCGATCCGTCGCAGGAAGTTACGATAACGAGGCCATTGCCATCTTCCTGCTCGTCTTCACCTTCTTCCTGTGGATCAAGGCGGTCAAGCTCGGTTCCATGTTCTGGGGTGCATTGACTGCGCTGTTCTACGGATACATGGTGTCAGCGTGGGGTGGATACGTCTTCATCACCAACTTGCTGCCCCTGCACGCTTTCGTCTTGATCTGCATGGGACGATACAGCCCGAGGTTATATGTCAGCTACACGTCGTGGTATGCGCTCGGTACGCTTGCGAGTATGCAGATTCCCTTCGTCGGTTTCCTGCCCATCCGCAGTAGCGAGCACATGTCCGCGCTCGGTGTCTTTGGCCTCCTCCAGCTGGTTGCCTTTGTTGACTGGGTTCGCGCACAACTTCCCGGCAAGCAGTTCCAGACACTGCTCCGCGCTTTGGTTCTGAGTGTCTTCCTCATCGGTGTTGGCGGACTGGTGCTTCTGACCGTCTCTGGTGTCATTGCGCCCTGGACTGGCCGTTTCTACTCGCTCTGGGATACCGGATACGCCAAGATTCACATTCCTATCATCGCCTCCGTTTCCGAGCATCAGCCTACCGCATGGCCCGCTTTCTTCTTCGATCTCAACATGATGATCTGGCTCTTCCCCGCTGGTGTCTACCTGTGCTTCCGCACTTTGACCGACGAGCAGGTCTTCATTGTCATCTACGCTGTGCTCGCCAGTTACTTCGCTGGTGTCATGGTCCGTCTCATGCTCACTTTGACTCCCATTGTCTGCGTTGCATCGGCAATTGCTTTCTCGCAGATTCTCGACACTTACCTCGACGTCAAGACCCCCAAGCCCGTCACCGAGAACGGCAGTGCCGATACCGCTGCAGTCGCTGCTGCAGCTATCCTTCCCGAGGGTCTCCGATCTACACGCAACCCGCTCGTCGGCATCTACTCGTATGCGTCCAAGCTTACCGTCGCCGGAACCGCCGCCATCTACCTCATGCTGTTCGTTCTGCACTGCACATGGGTCACTTCGAACGCCTACTCTTCGCCCTCCGTCGTGCTCGCATCCAGACTTCCTGACGGTAGCCAACACATCATCGATGACTACCGTGAGGCATACTACTGGCTCAGGCAGAACACCCCTCAGAACGCCAAGATCATGTCGTGGTGGGACTACGGATACCAGATTGGTGGTATGGCCGACCGCCCAACTCTTGTCGACAACAACACCTGGAACAACACGCACATCGCTACTGTCGGTAAGGCTATGAGCTCCAGGGAGGAGGTCAGCTACCCCATCATGCGTCAACACGAGGTCGACTACGTATTGGTCGTCTTTGGTGGTCTACTTGGCTACTCTGGAGACGACATCAACAAGTTCCTCTGGATGGTCAGGATTGCCGAGGGTATCTGGCCTGATGAGGTCAAGGAGCGCAACTTCTTCACTCCACGAGGCGAGTACCGTGTGGACGAGGAGGCTACCCCCACTATGAAGAACAGCTTGATGTAAGTGATTTAGTCCCACCAACTCCAGCAGCGACTAACAGCATATCAGGTACAAGATGTCTTACTACAACTACAACGCGCTGTTCCCCGCCGGACAAGCCCAGGACCGCGTCCGTGGCGCGCGTCTTCCCGCACAAGGCCCCGAGCTCAGCACCATCGAGGAGGCCTTTACCAGCGAGAACTGGATCATTAGGATCTACAAGGTCAAGGATCTTGACAACTTTGGTCGCGACCATCAAAGCGCCGTATCGTTCGACAAGGGCCACAAGAAGAAGCGGTCCACCAAGAGGAAGGGACCTCGGGTATTGAGAGTTGAGTAGATATGGTGGACGTATCAAAATCTTGCTAGAGATCTATAGCATTTGTACAAATAAGAAGCCATGTTGGCATTGTTCGCAGGCGGGCGTCTGGGAAGAAATAAAAGAATATTTAAGTCCCATTGTCGGTGTCCTTGAGGTGAGTTGCGGTGAGTTTGACTATCATGATTTGAGATGCGGTTTCGCAGACGCGCAATCCTGCTTGTGCGTCTGCTCTTTCACTTTGACTCCAGGTTCACTGACATGCTTTCTCACATGCTTTTCAAACCATCATTGTCTACCCCACATCTCTCTCTGTCGCTCCTTCTTCTTAACGCCTACTCGCGCTTTCCCGGTCGCCCACGTGGGACCCACGACCAGGGTCAGTCCTCCGGCTTCCCTCCGCCTTCGAGTCGCACGTCCGCACCTGCTCAAACCACAATATGGCGAACGAAGAACAGAGAAGGGCCTTTGAGTCGTATATGGGCCGCACTGGCGGCAGTGGCAGTAACGGGCAAGGCCAAGATCAGGGCCAGCCAATTCCTCAGTACCCCGGCTCCTTCGCACGGCCAGCCAATTCGTATCTTTACAATGTGTAAGTGCGCCATTGTCGCCTGAGACCAGAAGTTGGCTGACAGCAAGAATAGACGTAATCGTGTTCGGCCCCATCTCATCGACGCCCGCGCACAGTGCGTCAGCAAATATAGAACCTGGCTTACCCACCGTGTAGCAATTCCAAGGGCTCGGAGTCCCTCCCGCAGCACCCACGCCTCCGCCGGCTGCCTCGTCCGTCGCTTCTTTTCCCGGATACCAGGGAGGCTACCCTCAACAAGCTGGATACCCTCAACAGGCTAGATACCCACAGCAGGGTGGATACGGCCAGGGCGTGTACAATCATCTGGGGATCCCACAGCGCCCACCACCGCTCCTAAGCCCTCAGTCACAACAACAGGATCAACGGCAGATACCGCCAGTAGCCGGACCACAAGGACACGCTCATATTCCACAGGGCTACGACGCACGACCACCGCCTCCGCCAGGGTACAACGCCGACTGGCAGTATAGCAATCCAGGTTCTGGGATGGAACGTCGACGAACTGCTCCTCTTACGAGCGCGATGGTACCGTCGTCACGCAACACGCAGCAAGAGATCATGGAGTCAAGATCGAGGCAGACAAGCGAGCAATACCACTACGAACAATACGGACAATCACATGCCGCGCAAGCACCACCTCCGCAGGTAGAAGAAGTAGCTGTGCCAGTTATGCTCTGTCACACCTGCAGTCACTGCGGCGAGATGCGCTCTGCAGGTTTCCATCGCAATAACCCGGTCCTTCCTGGCAAGCCCATGGTTCCCACACCCTGTCGAAGGTGCAAAAAGAAGCTTGCAGGCTCACATCGTTCAAGCAGCAGGTATAGATACATCAGAAGATGTACTGCCGAAGAACCCTGCGACTGGCCTAGAGAATGTGTCCACATCGACATTGACCATGACGAGCGTAGGGGCCGAAGACAGAACAGAGAGGAGATCTATGTCACGCGATACTCTCCCAGTCGTCCTCGTGTTGTTAGACGAGAGTCCAGTCAGGCACGCCTGGGCCTGCGAGTACTTCAACAGCCGACACAAGAGTTTAGATCGGAACGAAAGCTCAAAACTTCTTCACTGAGTCCTCGCCGCTCTTCCAGGTATGCTGGTGAAGTTTGGCCCCCGCCTGACATCATCCGCACTAGGGAAACACGGTCGGACGAAGTGTACCCTGCGCCACCTCCGCCACTTCCCAGTCTTGCCTCGAAATCTGACGAGGTGTGGCCTCCTCCAGACGTTGTCCGTACTCACTCCTACAGGAAGGTCGAGAGAAGTCCATCGCGCCGGGCAAGTTCAAGGATCATCGAACTCAGTCCGTCGCCCCCGCCGCCGACAAGATCTTCGAGAGTTGTCTATCGGAGCGAGTCTCAGGAACGTCGGACTAGGAGTACAAGTAGATCTCCTATTCGTATTAGCCTCCGGGCTGAAAGGCGAAACGAGGAAGCGGAAGCTCGTCTCATGTCGCATCCGAGGCCGTACCACCCGATTGGACCAGAGCAGCGTAGCTTTCTCAAGGCGTCGGATGAAACTTCGAGCAATGCTGATTCTGTGCCACGTCGCCGTTTGGATTCACCTAGTCGGAGCATCCTGAAGCCCCTAGGCACCGAGCACGAAACCTCCCACAGGCGAAGAGATACTATGCGCGAAAGTCAGCAGAGCATGCACGTCGAAGTCGGAGGACCTCGTGTTCACTTTGGCGGTGGAAGGAGGCAAGAAGAGCCAGTACTGGAGCCAAGAGGAAGATCAAGGTATGCCGATGAACGACTGACGAGTGGCGACAAGTACAAGCATTACCGAGAGTATTCCCGCCATCGGGTTGTAGACGATCCTCCACAAGAGCCACTATCACAGGACTTCGAGAGGATCCGTATACGGCACTCGTCGCCATCTCCAAGAAGGGAGTACGAAGAGGAAATTCGCATTGATCGACAGCGCCGTATCTCACCTTCTCCTCCGCCCTCAAGACGATTTGAGGAGGTACTCGTGCGGAACATCTCTCCTCTTCCCGCACGTCGCACACCCCGTCTTCCGCCCTCTCCTCTGTCACCTGAACGACCACCGCGGCCACTATTTCGCCATGTCTCCCGCCCACGAGCACTCGAACGGACTCGTTCTATGACACCACCGCCTAGTCGCCGAAGACAAGAAGATGATGATACCGATTCGGAGAGCGCACATTCAGCTGAGATCAATGATATCAGAAGCTGGAAGGGTATCGATGAAAATGGACAACCTGCTACATTTGTGGAAGAGAGGAGGGCGGTGAGGATGATCGATCAGGGAAGTGATAGAGGTGGGCTTGCGAGAGAGTATCGTGAGATGGGTAGAGGCCCGAGGCTGGATACGAGAGAGCGAGTGACTAGTCGGAATTGGAGGGATGTCTAGGCTGTTGGAGGTGATGAGTATGTAAAAGTCTGGCACTGGCGAGTTGTGTGGTGGCTATGCGATGAGGCGGAGCATACTTGGATTGGATTTGAACGATTACTGATGCATAGATACCTACGATACCTCTTTAGATTTCTTTCAATGTCCTTTTTTTCAGCGAAGGCAGACCTTGGATCAGGTGATGTCGGATTCGAGCGATTCTCTACTAACATATTCCACGGAAGATAAACGCACAGACCTTTGACGGTGCATATATAAGCTCACAGCCTGCCGCTTCCTTACTTTCTATATCATCTTTCAAACCTGAAAACATATTCAAAATTACATTGCCGCTCATGATGGAGTTTTTCCTGGCTTTCAAAACCGTACTAGCCAAGGCGATGTGCTAAGAACTCTGTTCATGCCTTCATTACTTTCTCAAAAGACGAATCTCCAAAATACCTACTGCACAAGGCATATATCTGTGGGTTCTCCGCCAGAGGTTTCTCCAAATTTTCAGATCAACATACCATATACACATTCCAAAAACGTCAACGACGCGGTTATGGCCAGGGGCTGTTCGCCATTGCTCTCTTCCACAACTTCCTTGTTTTCGGAGTGAGAAAAGCGTGGAGAAAAAATTCGATGAGACTGAGTGTTCACTTTCACGCAAAAAACAAAATACATGCTGTTTCATGGCGTGAGTAGTGCTGGGTCGGGTATAAAACATCGACCTGGTACTGCTCTTGTCCTCGCATGTACTCACCTTTGACCACTAAAACCAATACACGATGGTCCGATGTTCCAAAAACTATCCAGAGACTGGTGATGTTTTCTGCGTTGTTTGAACCAAAACAATCGGCGACAGCCTTATGTGTGAGCAGGAATTCGAGACATGTTGAACGTATGTTCGAGTGTACGCTGCAGCACTCAAATAAGCTTTGATGTTCTGGTCTGAAAATACGGGTTAGAAACATGTACTTGCGCACTTCATGGAGAAGACCAGGGAGACTAGAGGTGCTGCTATCGAATACATGAACACATGTGTTCGTCTTCAAAACCACGAGGATGTCATTTGATGGTTTGAGAGTGCTCAGGCAGTCACTAACTATGCGCCAACACTATGGTGTTCGCTGATATGTATTGATGCTGGATAGCCGATCTACAACATACTTGGCTATGACTTGTATGACGAAGCTGGCATAGCGCACTGACTGGTCGTGTATAAAAGCTCGCGTCCGCTGCTTACAGCTTTCTTCTTACACACAAGCCGCTCAGCCTCTGAACTAAAAAGAATAGGTGCAAACTGGCATGTTCTCTCCCAAAAACTCCAGCTACTCCATTGATGTCCTGGTGCGAGCCGAGAACGGAATCCATTGAAGGGCGGGCGACATTCAAAATGCACGCCATACTGCGATGTCTGTCTCGAAGATGCGAACAGCATGCAAACCTTTGGGTCTTGTTCCTTCTCTTTTCCGTGTCCCGAGGACTTTCTTCCCGACTTTGCTGTATCAAAATATCCAGGCAGCACAGTCATGGCCGATCCTCCTGACTGTAGGACAAAATTAGACAGCTCCTGCATGTCCAAGGAGAAGAGAACGATGAATCTAGATGCAAATTCTCAATGATCCATTTTGTTTTAGAATGCCAGTATTTCCGAGAAACGAAAAAAGGGTGCATGGTAAACATGTAGCGCTCGCACTTGCCATGAAACTAATGGATGAAAATACCATGCTTCGTCTGCATCTGTCAAAGATCGCACCCGCAATTTGCTGTCGATGACCGACACCGATGGCTATATAAAGCCGTTCATCTGCGCTTCTGCACTCTCTACTACTCTCTACTACTCTCTCTTGCGAGGTGGTACTTCAAAAGTCGCTACGACTGTCAGATGGTGTTTGTATCCCAAAACTTCCATGCAAGAAGAGTGATGTGCGAGCTTTGGCTGTCTCTCGTATTCTGATGCTTTGTCCCAGCCTCCATCAGTGTATGCTGGCAAGACAGTGCTGAGCCGAATGTCGGTAGCTGCTCAAAATGATCTTGTAAGATGTAGAATTACGGTGCACTTGTATTAAGAACCAAACAAAAAGCACTTCGATGTTAGATTATGAGTAATGGTAAGCTTTTTAGACGTTCCTTGTTCAGTCCGCCATGGGAATGTTTACCGTCTACATCAAATAAAGGAGCTGGTCCGACATGGTGATGTCAATGTAAGAAGGCAATGCCATTATTCGTTATAAGGCTACATACAAGCACTCTGTGACTGACGAAGATGATATTTCTCGCTTGATTGTAGCCATAGCCTAGGTTCCGCGAAACATTATCCCATGCTATCATCGCCCCCTCGTCCTATGCTGACTCCAACACCTTACTCTGCAACGAGCAGAGCTCTACAATCGTGCTCACACTCCCCACTTCTTGCCGGGCAGCCTGCAGACGCTCTTTCACCAAGTTTTCAGTAGCCGCCTCAGCTTCCCGTGCTGTCTTGCCCCATGCTGCGACTTCCTTCGAACCAGCAGGCAGGAGATGGCTTTCGCCGGAGAGTCGGAGAAGCGCTTCTTCAATGTCTTGGTCTGCAGATGCTATCTGGCTCTGGAGGTATACGGATTGCTGGAGTAGAGAACGCTCGTTGTTGGCGATTTGAGTGAGATGCGGGAGGTAAGGCAAGAGTTTGGTAATCGGTCGAACAGGCTTCGTTGCTGCGGCTTTGCTGTCTTCGTTGGGTGTAGTTTGACCGCCGTTCTGATCGTCAGTCTGGACATCCAACGGTTGTTGGAGGCTTGTATGAGCTTCGAGCAGACTAGCACGAGCTTCAATGTACTTGTTATACGATTCTCGTATCTGTGTTTCTGCTGACGCAAGATCGACGGGTGCCGCGACGCTGACTGGACGTTTGACGGGTGAGGCATCCTCAAGGAAAACACTGTCCTCTTCCATCTTGGCCAACTCCCCTTGCACCCAATCAACGAGCTCGTCTCTTGCTCGCTCGAGGGCATGGACTTGCGCTTGTAAGCTGGGCTCACCCGGCATCTCGTCCTGGGCCTTCTGCCTCGCGGCCTGGGCGCGCTCCATGGCTGTGCGTGCCTCGAGAACCTCCTGCTTCAGCTTGAAGACCCAATTCTGATCATCTTCGGCTTGCGATAGTTGCTCTAGCCTCTCGGCGGGTAAGTCTGGTTGCTCGCCGATGGCGCTTTTGATGGAAGCTCTTGGGTCAGCCGCAGCGGTCGATGGCTTTGCGGTGAGGAGCTTGTCTAGAGACTTCTGGATGACCTGGAGTTCTGCATAGCGTCGGCGCTGTCGTAGTAGAGCAACATAGCCTCGCGTAACTTCGTTGTCGTATTCTGATTCCGGCTGCGTTGGGTTCTCGTCTACGTAGCGGTTGCGAAGATCTTCTAATGACGTTTGAAGTTCACGTTGTCTTGCTTGCGCTTGGGAATTAGCCCGCAGAGCTTGTAGATATTCCAAACGCGTGTCCTTCAGGCCTGGAGGGTTGGTGTTGGCCGCAGATAGGTTCTGTGGGCACTCATGGTTCAGATGCTGGTTCTGGGTCGCTGCATTGACGGGCCTCAGGCTTGAGGTAAGATACTTGGAAAGAGCGCGTCGAATCCTTAGCGTGTCTTCCCGATTGTTTATGTATGACGACAGTGCGCGGTCGACTTCGGGTATCGGACATGTTGTTTGGGCTGGCATGATCGGAAGTTGTCTGCACCCCGCAACAGAGAGAATAACTAAAACGAAAGCGAACCCGGAATTGTGCGCGGATCTTTCAAGAAGGGACTAGTTCTGGTGATCGCATTAATTAGATGTCACGAGGGGTCGCTTTTGAACGCGTTCAGGGTACTGACAACGTCGAGATGTCAACGGGACGGCATTTCGATAGCTCTGGAGCTAGGCCAGAATGGATTTGAAGCTTTGGCTAGCGCAGATCACGAAAACACGTGCCCGCACGCTTGGCGATCGCACAAGCCCGAAGACAACACGTCGGGTGTGAGCACTCGTCTGCATCAGGAAGAGTTGAGAC